TTTGTTATTTATTATGGGGCCCACCCCTTTTTCATACAAGTGGACTCGACCAGTGTGTACTTGTACTGCTACCGGTGAATACCCGATAGGTAGAGTAATAGAGAAAGTGAGAATGTGAGGTAACCGCTTTGTAGGAGTCACAGTTGCGAGCACGTAGACTCAGAAGGAAGTCATACTTCGATACTGAATTTCCCAGACTGTATATATATTATTATTGCTACTAACCGCATTTCTGGATCTACTAACCGTATTACCAATTGTATTATTACGCCAATACATTTATTTGCTATATTTCATTCCTGCGTTTGTCATTCATTTGAGACCGGATTTCATCTTGAAATCCACAACAAATTGGAAAAGGGCTGGACCCCATAACATTTATTAAGTTTTTGGCACTCTTTTGAAAATTATAAATTTTAGATCAAAATCAGTTTAGCTTGCCTTGCAACTACTCCTGCCCACAGAATGAAAAATTACCAAAGTCAGGGAATTATTCACATTTCGTAAGTGTGGATGATATTCCGGGTACTTACAAGGAATTTTACAATTTAAAAAACAAAATCTGTTTTTGGCTTGTTTATCGGGGTGAGCGCGGATGCAGACCCCACACTTAGAAATGGTGCATCCGAGTCACCCACATTTGGGGCGATCGCAAAGGTGAACCCAACTAGAGTACAATGGAAGGACATCGCTCTGGGAGAATTTGGTCTGAATTTTAATAAATATAAATTCTTTTTATTTGAGGGTAAATTAATATTTTGGTTGGGATGAATTAACAGAATATTTCGCAGACTTCATCTATAATATGCTACTCATTAAGGCGTTTTCTACTCTCTAGAGATGTGCAATTTTTTACACAAATTTGTCAACATTTTTGGCTCTTTTCTTTTCCGGAATTATGCATGTGGACATAGCTGTCTTTGGCTTGTCCTTTTAGCTCCATTTGCAGTCAAATACTCCTGGAAATGATGTAAGCTCCTGATTTCTAGAGTTAACAATTAATCATTGAAACTCGAGTCATGAATAAATGCGTAAATATAGAAAAAAATGTGGAAATAATCAACTGCTGATATTGGGTGATCTTCAATGAAACAGCAATTAATGGTGATCGTCGTTTAAGACTTAAAACGAATGTGATATTTTGGCATCGTTGACTGCTATTGATCATCAGAAAACTCAAACACGGAAACATAGCACCATAAAATCTCCCCGTTGTCTTTCATTTTGAAAGAAACTCAAACTTGAAAAGGACACCGCTGTTAAACTTAAGATTTCGCCAGTTACCAGACCCTTCATCTACAGCCACTGCAAAGAACTTCCATGTCCCAAGTGGGCTTTTTTCAGCCGTTATTGAGCTAATCGCAAAACGCCCTTCTAAATTTTCGTTTGCCAAACCACAAGTTGTGTGTGTTTGTATAAAGAATTAAGTAAGTTTAATCACTAGCTAAACCAAATCCCTTGAAACATAGGAACTGTATGTCGTCTACAATTACTGAACATATTCCCAAATTAAAAAGTTGTTTCAAATAAAAAAAGGCTTTGTAAACTAAGTAATTGAATGGAATTTCTTGGAGTGGGAAAATAAAAACACATGCTGCAGAATTAAATTGACCGAAAAATAAATATATAGTGTTCTTTCATATATATATATATATATATATATATATATATATATATATATATATATATATGTATATATATATATACAAATTTCAATTAAATTGTTGATTGAATAATAACTTATGCACACACACACACACACACACACACACATATATATATATATATATATATTAAAAAGAAAACGGTTAAATTCTAAAGCTTCTTGTAGTATCATATGGAAATGAGATACTGCTATAAAAGCAGTATACCACACCGAATGCCAGTCGAGCTACCATCTGTTGACCTGACAACGGTTATCCCAGATAGTACTCTCTTTTATAAGAATATGGCGTCGCCGTGAGGATCTCTAACCGCGTTGGGTAAACCGGAGTACGTAGAAACTTGGATTGGCTGTTTAGCAGCGTTGGCTAGGCTGAAGAACCTGAAAGACAAGGCAGCCCCCGGAAGGGAGAATTAAATTAATGGTTTATTTTTTACTTCGGCAAGATGTGAAGCCATAAATAAAATATCCATTATGCTGTACCCCAAAATACTGGAAGACTTAACATATCAAGAAATTTCAACCATAATAAAAAGAAACATGTAACCCCCCACCCAAAAAAAGCTTGTTATTGCAGAGAGAACAAAAATTGTGGAATATAGACAGAACACAAATGAAATCTTAATGCAATATTTACACAGATTGAAAGAAGCATCAAAATATTGCGAATTTTCAAAACTTGGTTCGAGAGATATGTCTATAGAAGATGAATTGGTCCTGCTAAGATTAATTGAAAGCATTTATGACGATACATACAAACATAAGTTCCTAGAACGGCTAGAAGCGAATGATATGACTTTAGAAGCGAGTGTAGAATTCTTGCAGCAATTAGAATTAATTAATGAATTTAATAATTCTTAAAACAATGTGGAAAAATACAACACATCTGAAATCCTAATTAAGTGCAAATATTGCGACAAAGAACACGAAAGAAACAAAATATCCAGCCATAGGAAAATTATGTTCAAAGACAAAAAGACCCCACAAAGAGTCAAGTTAAATGTAGTGAAAGGCATAATAATGAAAATATTATAATACTTCCACAAAATTTAAGAAAAGAATTACTAAAAGGTGTACACGATGATGTACATTGTGGTACAACAACGACACAAATGAGATTGAAATTACAAGCGTGGTGGCCAGGATATTCCCGAGATGAAGAATATGCACAAAATGTGATGAAATAAAAAAAATTCTGCAAAACAAAATTCACTTGTGGCCTAAGTAAAAAGAACCATGGGCTTGGGTACACATGAATCCTGCCTATATTAAAGGTATGGCGCTATTTTTAATTTTAGTGAAGTCATTTTCAGGATGGCGCGGAAGTAATTTACGTTGCTGATAGAAAAGCTACAACTGTAAAACAAATATTAAGAACAATATTTTCAAAGTGTGGGGTCCTAAAATTTTACGAGGAAAGTTTGTGCTCGTGGCTAAAGCGTATTGAATGTGTTCCGTATAAAACACCACCATGCCAGCCACAATCGCATGGAATCGCAGAAAATATGACCGAATTCTAAAAATTGGACTAAAAGCATTTTTCCCATCTAATGATAATATAGAGAGTTACTTACCAAGATTACTGTTACGCTATAGGACAATTCCACATGCCGGTAGATAACAAAGTCCCTTTGTATTAATTAGTAGACAGATTAGAGCTTCCGTAACAATATCATTTTCAAGAAGTGAAAGTGTATGGTATAAAAAGGCAAATAATCTCATCCAGAGAAGGCGAAGTTTGTAGTATAGAAAGGAAACAAAACAGCAATACTAACGAAAAATGTACAAAATGTACTGGACAATAAGGATCAATTCAAAATCAGAATGGAACCTGAGAATATAAAAATGGACGAAGAACCTGAAGGGGAGGAGGGAACTAATGAATCCAGACGTGAAATTGAACAATCTATGGATGATAATGACGAGAAATCTGACGAGGAGATGGATTAGGAAAATTAACTCGGACGTAAGTCTCCCTATAAGAAGAAATCAAGATACACACCAACAAAGACAGAAAGAAAAAGTCAAAGATGAACGAAGGGTATGAGGACATTTCTATTCAGGGAGGTGTAGTATTGTAGCTAAATGAGATACTACTATAAAATCAGTACGCCACAAGGAATGTCAGTCGTGTTCTCATCGGTTGATATGACAACGTCTATTCCTGAGATTTATCTACTTTATAACACTTCAATTAATTAAAATACATAATACGTAAATATAAAATATATAATACGTAATAATATAATAATTTTATTATAAAAAAATTTAAAAAATTTACTCACTTTCATTTAATAGTCAATAAATGACATAATTTAGAATCCTTCATAATTATTTTGTCTTTCAGATAGCCTTATGTATGTCTATGAGCATTCTTCTCTATAATAAATGTCAGTGTGTCACACTTTTTTAATTAAAGGGAAACAACTCTCTAACTTTCAATAACTCATGTTAAAGAAATTTTGGATTCCTAAGTTTTCATTACTGCGATTGTTTTCGATGATTCTTTACGTGATTTTTTTGCGACGAATTTTTTGTACAATAAAATTTTTTATAACTTAGAAATATATTTGGGAATAATTGAAATTAATTACGAAAGTCATTCATGAAATAAAGATAAGTGTTTGCTGTTATCATTCCATGTTTTTACCAGAGCTCATATTGCAACTTTGTTGTTATCATTGCTTTTCTCTGGTACTCCTTATTACTGGTTCCCATATTGTATTTATTTCTATGCTTGGTCGGCTCAGGAGATTTTTGTGGCCTAGCATAAATATGGCGACAAAGATGAGGACAATAGTCCGAATAATGTAAATAATGTACATAATACCTCATCTCAGAAATATAGACAGACTCATTTGGACAGTTCTTACACACCCTTTGTCCAGAAATAAAAGCTCTTGTTCAAACACAAGAAAAATTAAATAAAAAGCGTAACCGTAGTACCTTGTCTGTCGTTTTTAATGAAACATGCATAAACGAAGGATTGCTGCCTAAATATACAACTATATATATATATATATATATGTGTGTGTGTGTGTGTGTGTGTGTGTGTGCTACCAAGTTATAAAACATACGAATGAATAGTGAGTTCGATCTTTACTGAGTGCCGTCAACTTTCGGCCTTGTGCCACATTTAAGCAAAACTGCAAATCTATGCATAGTTTTGCGTATCGGCCATCTTTTTAAAAGTTTAGTGTCTGGAGAGTTTGTCAAAATTCTTACAATATATAATGGCCGGTCCCTCGTTCTCCAAGCAAAGGATGGTCATCCAAATCCTGTTATTTTTGGTCAACACCCACACAGCCCACCTGTGTTTTATACTGCAACCGGAAATTACGGCCAAAACACATTGAAACACTGGTTCTCTTACACTTACCGAAGTTAAGCAACGTCGAGCCTGGTCAGTACCTAGATGGGTGACCGCTTGGGAATACCAGGTGCTGTCAGCTTGGGTGTCCAAGAAGTGTAATCTGTAATAACAGATCGGAATTGGAAATCAGAGAGCCGAGTTCCAATTCCAGTCGGGTTCGTTATATACACATATGCGAAATTACCCTTCGAAAATGTATAAATCCATATATATTAACCTCTCTCAGCTATGAGTTAAGTAATAGTATTTGTTTTAGCAAATCGTTATTGTCTCCAAAACTTTTTAAAATCTAAAAATATTTTCTGACTTTAAATAACCTGTAAAAGGTTGATAATCCAAATCAATCAATATACTTCATCTGAGCAGGTCTAACTTTAGGGAGATGGTGCATAATCTGGCATCAGTAGTTTAAACAACGGCTGTACACTCAAAAACTCGGTCACGATGATTTGTGACTTTGTGTTTTTAGATTGGTTACGGTTTTGACCACTTCCGGTAGCTCTAAATGTGGAAACAAATACAATAAATGCATGACACCAAGCACGTTGTCACTTGTTTTATCTTTCTAATTTCATCCCCTCACCCGCCAAAGTTAACCGTCATTTATTTGTAGCCTTTGTTAACGTTCTCTCTGCATTTGTCGATTCTATTTCCGTGTTCGTTATGGGACCTTACCCATAATAACATAATGGGCTATTCCATACATAATAAATACTGCGCCTCAAGAGGAAGCAGAGAGTTCAGTCCGAAGTCGGGCGACCGGCTGACCGGCTGATCGGTTGAACTCTCTGCCTTCGGGCGGGGAGGAACCCGAACGAGGCTACGCCGAAGGGCGGAGTCTCTTTCGGAGAGGTAAACCGACCCTGAACCCGTTTATACGGGTTGAAAGGGCATATTTTTGGCCGAGCCCACGGGCTCGGAGATCCCACGTTAAACCGGCCTTGTGCCAGATGATGCCCTCGTGAGGGGGACGGGTGACTAAATACTGTTCAGTCTGAAGTCTGGAGTGAAATCCGTCAGTCAGTCTGTCAGTCAGTCAGAGCGAGAGAGTCAGTCAGTCGAGTCAGAAGCAGTCCGAAACAGAGTCGCGTTCAGACAATTACTACAAGACATTGGAATAGTGATACTGGTCGAGACTACATTGTTCTCCCTACTAAACCTGATTGTTCGTACTAACACTTTCTACTTCTCTGTATATATTCCTGTTTGTAATATATCTGTGTTATTCCATATCCGTGTTCGAGTTCTTCTTTATTGGTTCTACCTTGGACTATCATCGTGGTACAAGTTCCTCTCATATTGTCTGATAAGCTTAATAACATTATCATTGAAAGACGAAAGGAAAACACCATATTGATACATGTTTAAATCCAATCATGCAACAAAAACAGACTATCCTTATTGTTTCGTCCGTCTGTTTTTTTTTGTTTTTGTTTTTGTTTTTTTAGGTATTACGCCCCGAGCAGGGCGGGAAGTCACTAGGATGCAGGGGGTTGCAGAAGATTTGGAGCAAGAGCAGATAAGAGTGATAGAAGAAAGGATGAGGAGAAGGATAGTGGATAGATCAAGGTAACTAGAGATGTCGATTGACATTACATTTGAATAGTTGGAGATTATAGCTCTCAGGGAAACAGTAATAGGGAAGGGTGTTCCACAGGCGAGAGGTGCGAGATATGAAGCTATTGAAGTAGAAGAGACGGCTACATTTAATAGTTTCAACAGTGAAAGGGTGAGAGCGGGATGCCAGCCTTGTAGGGTGCTTGAATTCATGGAGTCTGGGAACCAGTGAAAGCAGCTCATCGGAGCAATTACCATCAATGTATTTGTAGAAAAGACAGAGAGAGGCGAGTTTGATTTATTGAAATTGTCATCTTTGATAATGGCTTATCTAAGCCGAAAGCTTAGTTTGGATTTAAACATGTAATGGTCTTTCAATTATAATGCTATTAAGCTTGAGACAATATGAAAGGATCTTACTTAAAATAAATAGACAAAACTTGTCTATATTATTTAATGAAACATGCATCAAGGAAAAATTGCTGCCTAAATATACACAATATATATATATATATATATATATATATATATATATATATAAAAGTGAACATAGAAGTCAACACTTAGAGGCGACAATAAATATAGCACTTAAGACTATATTTCTTCATATATATATATATATATATATATATATATATATATATATGTCATCAAACACTAAGTATTATCTCCCTCTCTCCCTTCCCCTCACTCTGTCTGTCTGTCTGTCTGTCTGTCTGTCTGTCTGTCTGTCTCTCTCTCTCTCTCTCTCTCTCTCTCTCTCTCTTTGCGTGTGTGCAAACAAATTTTACTCTATATCCTATCAAAGTCCGTGACAATTCGGGAATTTAACGAACAGATTTCTTGATTTTTTTTTCCTCTCCAAATATTTGTAAATGAACATTAAATTAAGTTTTAATTTATTTTACACCAAGAAAAACTATATTCAATCAGCCGACGATTCCCTTTTGTTTTTCATTTTTTTAGAAGAAATCCTTAAGAAAATATTTTCGATAATAATTTCCCTCTCAACGATTTGTCTTCTTTTTATTTCAAATGATTATTTTTCTTTGACTTGACTTCAGTTGTCATCATTTTACGTGCAGTTAAGCGATGTTGGAAAAAAGGAAAGACGCCTCTAATCTGACGACCATCTTTGACTTCCTTTGTCATAATTTTCTAAATCACTTAATCAGATAAGGATTAAAACACTAAAGAACTGGCGTGAGGCTTTATGGAGAAAAATCTCCTAAACATCCCCACACCAGTATCTTAACTCTTTTTCCTTCTGTTTGGGGCTTTTACTTCTTTCTATTCCATTTTATTCATCGAGTTTTTTTGTTTTTTTTGGTTTTCTGTTGTTTTTTTTTTTTTATCAACACCTGTTTGATTGTCCAGTTCGTCGTTCTTCTTCTTCTTCTTCTTCTTCTTCTTCTTCTTCTTCTTTCTTCTTCTTCTTCTTCTTCTGTTTCTTCTTCTTCTTCTTCATCGTCATTTTTCTCATCTTTTCTTCTTCTTCTTTTTTTGTACCACTAATTATTGTTCTTTTATTTTTTTCCTCTTTTCTATCTTTCTTTTTTCTTTCTCTTTTTCTTCGTTTCTCATAATTCTCCTTTTTTCCTCCCATTTATATTTGCCCTCCCTTCATTTTTCTTATACACATCTTTCTTCTTCTCCTCCCCCTTCTTCTTCCTCTTCTTCTTCTTCTTCTTTTTCTTCTTCTTCTTCTCCTCCTCCTCCTCCTCACCCTTCTTCTTCTTCTTCTTCTTCTTCTTTACCAGCATTAATCTTCTTCTTGCCTTATCCTCTTCTCCTCCCCCTTCTTCTTCCTCTTCTTCTTCTTCTTCTTCTTTTTTCTTCTTCTTCTTCCTCCTCCTCCTCACCTTCTTCTTCTTCTTCTTCTTCTTCTTTACCAGCATTAATCTTCTTCTTGCCTTATCCTCTTCTCCTCCCCCTTCTTCTTCCTCTTCTTCTTCTTCTTCTTCTTTTTCTTCTTCTTCTTCTCCTCCTCCTCCTCCTCACCCTTCTTCTTCTTCTTCTTCTTCTTCTTCTTTACCAGCATTAATCTTCTTCTTGCCTTATCCTCTTCTCCTCCCCCTTCTTCTTCCTCTTCTTCTTCTTCTTCTTCTTTACCAGCATTAATCTTCTTGCCTTATCCTCTTCTCCTCCCCTTCTTCTTCCTCTTCTTCTTCTTCTTCTTCTTTACCAGCATTAATCTTCTTCTTGCCTTATCCTCTTCTCCTCCCCCTTCTTCTTCCTCTTCTTCTTCTTCTTCTTTACCAGCATTAATCTTCTTGCCTTATCCCTTCTCCTCCCCTTCTTCTTCCTTCTTCTTCTTCTTCTTCTTACCAGCATTAATCTTCTTGCCTTATCCTCTTCTCCTCCTTCTTCTTCCTCTTCTTCTTCTTTTTCTTCTTCTTCTTCTCCTCCTCCTCCTCCCCCTTCTTCTTCTTCTTCTTCTTCTTCTTTATCTTCAAATATTTATTCTACTTTTCATTCTTCTTATTCTTCTCAGTTTCCTTATTTATTTTCATTCTTAATTTTTTTAATTTTTTCTTAATCAATTTTTTCTTCTTTCTTTTCTTCTTCTTTTTCATTTTCTACTACTAATTATTCTTCTTTTATTCTTCTTTTTTCCTCTTTCTTTTTTCTTTCTTTCTTTTTTCTTTCTCTTTTACTTTTTCTTTTTGCACACTATCTTTATTTCTCATAATTTTCCTTCTTCCTTCTTATTCATATTTGCTCTTTCTTGAATTTTCTTATATTCATCCTTCTTTTTCTACTTTTTCTTCTTTTTCTTTTTCTTCTTCTTCTTCCTCTTTTTCTTCTTCTTTGTCTTCAAATATTCATTCTATTTGTTATTCTTCTAATTCTTATCATAGTTTTCCTATTCATTCCCATTAATATTTTTACTTCTTCTTTTACGTCTTTTTCTTCTTCCTTTACTTCTTCTTCTTCTTCTTCTTTTTCTTCTTCACTTTCGTCTTCTTATATTCCTTTCTACTAATTTTTCTTCTTCTCTCCACCTCTCTTTTTATTTCTTCTGTGTTTCTTCTTCGTTTCCTTTCTTTCATGATTCTTCTCTTCATTCTTCTAGATTATTCTTTTTTCTTATTCTCTCTCTTCTTCCATTTCTTCTTCTCTTTCTTCTTCGCTTTCTTCTACTTATTCCCTCACCCTCCTCCACCTCTGCATCATCATCATCATCCATCATCATCACCTTTATAGCAATTTAACCCCTAACATTCCTCTCTCACCCCTAACATCTCAGTTCCCTTTTTCTTCTCTCGCCTTCTTCTTTTAATCTTGCCCCTTTCCATCAAATCTCTTTGATTTTCATCAGCTTGCCCACTCTCTTAATCTACCAGATAACCGTTCACACTCATAAAATCTAAATGTTGTTGCGTCGTCACGACTTTCATAAACTTCGCCTAACCATGACACTCGGTTGGAAAGCAACAAGAGAAAGAGCGGAAGGAGATGGCGCGGGGCTTCAGTCAAAAGACAGGGAAGAAAACAAATGAAATTGCGAATGCTTGCA